CATGTGCATGTTGATTTAAATTGAATTGTATCAAACACGATTGCTATTGTATTGCTATGTTTCTTTATGTATGTCTATACAACACGGAACATGAGAACTTATCGTACTAAAGCCCTTCCCTTATCTCTAACCATTAACTCTTTGAGCCAATGGTCATTATGGATAGCGCTATTAGGAATTGACAACTCCTCACTCGCCCTATTGCTGGAGTGCATGATACAATATTCATCTATGGAACGATAAGCATAGATCTTGATAGGGCTTCAGTCATAGGTTTGGTTGAGACTCATTGTTTGCTCATACACATACAAACTCGTTTCTCGTTATAGCAATAAACTTTTTATTAATTATAGCAATGAACTTTGTTTCTCATTACAACAACGAACTTTTATTACTGAAAACTTATATACATGTTTTAGCAATGAAATTGGTTTGCTCCTTGTAGCAACGAAATTGATTGCTCATTTTAGCAATGAAACTTGTTTACTCGTTTGAGTAACGAACTTTATCTTCCATGAGAATATGAATGTTGCATCTTATTTGGGCAACATACTTTATCTCTCATGATGACAAAGAACTTTGTTTTTACAAACTTATTTACTCATTTTAACAATATACTTTTATTATTGGAAACTTTTATCAAAACTTTGATTTCAATTCATGGAACCAATATTATTTTGTTTATCTGTGAGTACTCACCAACTATTTTTATAGTTGACGCTCGTTTTACATGCTTTTTCAGGAATCATCGAGTAAGTGGCACTTAGGGACACTTCACTTTTAGGAGCATTCGCATGTGTTGTATTTCAATTTACATTGTAATTTCTTTTAAAAGTTGTTCAAACCCATTGTAAAATTGTAATGATTTTTAATACTATGGTTGGTGTTGTCTTTTAACTTTTGCTATGAAACCCTTTATACTGCCACACCTCGTGTTTCCGCTTTAGCGGGGTGTGACAACAAGGGACCTCAATGTAGCTAAAATCCCACATCCATGGCTTCTGGAGTAGATCGAAAGCTCAACTTTAACTCAAAAGACCCAAAAATGCATAAATAAGGCCCTAAACTAGATCTAGCATAAAGAATCATCAAATAGGGAACTTTATACCTCAAATAGCTTGCAAAGATGATGATGAATCTGGATGTACAAGATCAAGCTATTCCCAAATACCCACCGAGAGTTCTTCTTCCTTTAAATCATCAAAAATACCACTAAAACTCACTTCCAAGCTCCAAAGATCACAAAAGACATTAGGGTTTCATTCTAAGGGTTTGGAGAAGTGGAGGCTAGTTATAAGAAGATCCATGAGTGACTTAAGGTGATTAAATAGAGCACAAACCCTAAATTTTAGGGTTTTACCCCAGCGTACGCTGAAGTCTCCGCGATCCGGATGTCAAGCCCAGTACGCCCGGCGTACTCCTAGCGTATGCCCAGTGTACTCGGCTAGGGCCAAGAACCACCAATCTTCCGAAGGCCATAACTTCTTCGTTCTAAGTCTGATTTCAGCGTTCTTTATATCCACAGAATGGTAACAAGAAGCTCTACACTTCTATCTGCTCCCCCTCACCTTAAAATTCTCCGAAATTAAACCCAAACTTCAAAACAGACTGAACTGATACTTTAACAATATACCCTTGGACTCCAAACACAAACCGAACCCCCTGATCGTTTGATCTACATTATCCACACTGAAAGGGGGCTAAGTCTCCTTCCCAAAGGCCCTAAGCCTTATGATAACCGGTCTTCGGGTCACGGGCCCGATTTATGAAACGATTCGAAACAGGGTGTTAAAACTCTCCCCTACTTAAACTAGATTTCATCCTTGAAATCATTCCCTTACAACCTCCTCTGCCGCTATACGATCTAACCCAAACTTTTGAATTCCGATTAAGACCGAAGAATCATCCCATACCGATGACCGTCTCCCAAACCTGCCTTCCATACCCGGTCGTGGCAGAAATTGCTTATACCTCTGAAAGGATGAACGTTAACACTCTTCCCTTAGCCCAAAAGAAGAAATCCTAGCGACCCTTCCCAAGAACTGAAACAACTGTCTTACTCTTGCCAACTAGAAGACCTCATAATACTACAATAACCAATCAAATCAGGAACTTCCCGAAAACATGAACCCATCAATATAAACCCCATTAGACTATTTCCTAGGATTACTGATTATTCATTCATCACACCCACCCCTAGTCCCTGACTAGGAATACCATTCTACTATGCAGAAGGAAAGCTCAAAACATACCGATAGTAAATTACACCAAATCCCTAATTCGGAAGTTGCGCCTAACAGTCCTCAAATACGCGCTCGACTCCCTGACAAGTCATCACCAACCTGCGAATCTCACGGGCATAAGGATGGTAAATCCAAAAATTCTCACGCTGCAACCAAATCCCATGTCAGCTATGGCTCAAGATTCCGTAACCGATGCCCAACATTGGTAACCGAACTCTTGATAGACATCCCTCAAGCAACCCAAGTTCACAATGCAAACACTATGTATGCGGCTACTGGTGCATAACCATCATTCCTAACAACTTTAACTACCCACATGATCCAAACCAGCTGATCACCGAATCTCCCGACTCCCACAGTGCACTAACACCCAAATAAGCCAAGAAAGCTAACGATCTGAGACCTAAGAGTCTCAAACAAAAGACCATTGGGTCTTACCCATATAAATCATATAACTACTGGTTCATGATACATCGAGACACCCTACTATCCATTATGTGATAAGCTCACGGTACTAAACCGGTCTTGCCAACAACACATCCATAGCCTGAAGACTCGTGACCAGCCCCACAGGGACCTAAAGATACCCAACCTGCAGTCCATCGACTTGCAGGAACCCAAACAACATCCCTCTCAATGCTATCCGAACACAACATGGTACATACCACTATATCATACACAGTCCTTTACATAACACATACTGATAGTAAATACTGATTACAAAACAATGACATTTAAAAAAGTAAAAATACATTAACCACGCAATTAAATGTAAAATTACATAAATAAGACGATGCTTCAAAACAAAAACATTTAGTGCTTACTTTTTGATATGTTGTTAAAGAGTGTAGTATGACAGTACACTAGTCGGAGTGTAATAAAACTTATATATATTATATATATTATAATAAATCTTATTATATATATATAATATAATATATATATATATATATATATATAATATATAATATATCTATATATATATAATCTTATTTTATATTTTTGGTTCCGGCCGATGTTTGTGTTCCGCCTCTAATTCTAATTCTAGATGTTCTAAATTCTAACGTGCGATATTATAATGTTTTAAATGACATTAGCAAATGATATTGTTTTTATAAATTCATACAATGAGTACATTTATATAATGACTAATTGTGAAGTTATGAATATAATCTTGTTAATTTACCAGCTCATGCAACTTAGGTTTGGGTCACATATCTAATATAAATAAATCTATTAATTTGTTCACTTCATAAGACATTTTTATCATTTTATTTAAGACGTTGCATAAAATGATTAAAAAAAAAGGATTTGTTGATAGTTTTACTACGTTCACATAAAAAAAACATACGCTGCATTTCGGTAAAATGATGAAACATTGCATTATTTATTATTATTATTATATATATTAAAGTTGTGAAAGAAAGGAATAGTGAAGTTGGCATACTTTGTTCAGGTTTGATCCCTTGATTTAAATATCCGGTCCCTGTACTTCTTTAATTAATTTATTCATGTCCTTTTGTGTTCCATTCAACTTTCCATTTTTTTGCCATGGTTTTGGCAGCAGTGTCCCTGTATTTTTTGGAAGTTAGGAATACTAAATTTGAATGTTTTTTGGCAACTTTGCTCATTATCTTTACCCATTTTGACACTTTTGGTCCTTGCAATCAAATTTTTACACTTTTTTGTTGAACCTTTAATATTTAAAGTTTGGCCACAAAACTTTAACGGTTTTGACAAGTTTGATCCATTTTCTAAAAAGTTGCTATTCCTACCCTTTAATTCTTTAGCCATTTCACACTTCTGTCCTTGCAGTCAAAACTTTTACATTTTTTTGTCCGGGGCAAAGCCCGGACTTTTCATCCTTGCACTTTTTATGTCTGTCATATTTATCAATTCGGAAACAACATTGAAAGCTTCTGGCCCCCGCGTAGCGGGGTAACCTTTCTAGTTATTATTATTATTATTATTATTATTATTATTATTTGTAAATGACTCTTTAAATGACGAGAAGACTAAGCCTACTTGCAATTATTACATGGCAGCATTTTATTGATTCAACTACCCCATAACCATGCAAGTCATCTAACGGCTTCTTCATCTTCACAACGAAAAGCTAAAAAACTCTCTTGATCCAGAAATGGTGATTTCTACAAAACCAATTCCGATTCTACTCCTGCTACTAACAATCACACATATCTTCCTCTCTACGCCTTACTCCTCTTCCGCCGCCGGAGCAGCCAAGATAGTCTCCGACCTACACTCCTTACAATCACAGTTCCCTTCCGGCATTATTCACCTCAACGAAACTATTCTCTACAGAATTTTCAATGCCGGCCCCAGATCTTTCTACTTGATTATCTTCTTCGATGCTATCCAACTCCACGATAAACCAGAACCAAATCTTAAAACTATCAAATCTGAATATGCCCTAATCGCCAAATTCTTCTCCATCAACAACCAAAACTCCTCCAATCTTTCCAAAATCTTCTTCTGTGATATCGAATTCAGTGAATCTGAAAAGGACTTCCTCCGATTCGGTATACACACATTACCTAACATCCGAATCGTCCCCCCTGATGCTAACGATTTAAAATCCGATTCAATCCCCTTGGACGTCTCAGAGTCCTCCAATTTAGCCGAATCCATGGCGGGTTTTATCGAATCCAAAACTGGATTATCAATCGGCCGAATCCACAGGCCCCAATTCTTTCCAAATCACAATTGGGGTTTCTAATTGGGGGGTTACTTATATCAATGCCATTCATGACAAAGAAAATATTAGCAGGTGAGACTCCTTTTCATCACAAGAGGATTTGGATGCTTGGTATTATGTTTGTCTACTTCTTCAGCGTTTCAGGTTCTATGTTCATCTTGATTCGCAAAGTACCTTTGTTTGTTATGGATAGAAAGGATACGAATAAGTTGATTTTCTTCTATAAGGGTGTTGGGATGCAGTTTGGTGTTGAAGGTTTGTATGTTGGATTTTTGTTCATGACTGTGGGGTTGTTGTTGCCTTTCATAACTCGGGTTATTGTTAGGATAAAGGATTCAATGATACAGAGGGCAACCATGGTTAGTGCGATGATTGTTTCGTTTTGGGCAGTAAGAGAAGTTGTGGGGTTGAATCATTGGAAGACGGGTTATTATGCTCATGCTTATTTGCCTTCAAATTGGTATAATTAAGTGATTGTATCTGCTAGTTAGCTGTTTATGAGCTTCGAGTAATAACCATGGCTGCAACATCTTGATGATACATCATATTTTATCAAGGTTCTAGGTTTAAAGAAGCGTGTTTTGGTGGTTGCTTTGATGAATTCTTGTTTTATGATCTGGGTGAACTTTATAACCTATCTGGTAAAAGTTATTATCCGACCTTTTGCGGATTTAGAACATCTATAGAGTGTTTGTGTAATTGTTTGATTCCTAATCACAAATAATCAATTTTGAACGATGTTGAATAATTTGTTGATATAATTTGTAGAAAAAGGGTAAAGTAAAATTTAATAATCTGCTGATATTATTTGTAGAAAAACTGTAAAGTAAAATTATATATATGTAAGACAAAATCACAACATAGAATTACACGATTGTTCCGTTTGGTTTGTTAAAACCCGTACGGTGATGAAAACTATCAAAACATCTATCTATTTATCCACGTGGTTTCATTTTTGTTGCATTGTTGGTCATTCAAATGGTAAATCTATATTTGAGTTGTTACCTTTTATAAAATAACCAATATGGCCTTATAGATGACAAATGAGAGAGACATTAACGGGTCAAGAATGAAGATGGGATTGGGTGTTAATATTATAAAATAAAGAATAATTAAAAAAAAATTGTAAATGTAAAAATGTCATTTTATAAACATGCAATAGTTCAGCATTAACGATGTTAGTCAAAAGGGCGAATAATGCAATAAAATAAAACAAAGGGGACCAAGACATAAGATTTCAAAGATCTTGCCGGGAGAGAATTTTGTAACATAGTAAGAGCATCCACAATGTATAGTTCAATGGGAGAGTTGAATGAGATGACATGCCTAATTGGCATTAAATTGATTAAACTCTACCATTGTGGGATGCCATGTTGGCATTCAATGGATATGGAGTTCAATGGCCAATGAACTCTTCAATGGAAAAAAGGAAACCTTTTAACTATTAAATATATATTCCATTGAACTCTATTGAATTCAATGCGTTTTAGGAAAATTAATGTAGAGTTGTATAGTAAGTAAAATGATGATGTGTCAATCGATTAAACTCTAATAAGTTTAATGCATTGTGTAACATCCGGATTCCTAGGTATCTTATTTTAAGTATTTATATTGAATTTTAGAGAGGGACTCGGCGAGTAGGCGCTCAGACTCGCCGAGTGGGATCGCGCATTTCTGGTCTGATTTAATGAAGGACTCGACGAGTCGATGCGTGGACTCAGCGAGTCCGCGCTGTTAAGTGAAACCCTAATTCTCGGGGCCTGTGCCCTATTTAAAGGCCTTTATAGCCTCCATTGCGGCCACTTCACCCCTGAGAAACCCTAGAGAGAGAGAGAGAACGTTTGTGGTGCAAGAGGAAGGCTAATTCACCATTTCTTGTGTGTTTTAGCAAAAGAGAAGTAGTTTCCAACAAGAGGAGGTTAAGGGAGCTGTGGATCCAGGGTTTTCAAGTTCAGATCTACACTATTGAGGTATCAAATCGAACATCCCTTCTGTTTTGGGTTAAGATCTATGATTTAGGGTTTTCTATAAACCTTTTAAGGCTTGAAAGGTTGAGGTTATGGTCCCTTGCTGGGTTAGACCTCAGATCTGGACCCATAGAGGTCCAGAGAACCTTTCCCATTCTGCTTTATGCTTGTTCATGGAGGATTGGAGACTAGGTTGCTATTTTTAGAGTTATTTCTCCATTTATGACTTGATGTGGGTTGCATGCACGTAAAGGTTGCACCTTTATGTGACCATTGAGCACTTGAAGGCCAGATCTATAGTTTAGAGAAGCAGATCTGACCTCAGAAGGTCATTTGAGAGTTGTTATGGGAGCAACTCGCCGAGTCCATAAGTGGACTCGACGAGTCGAGTCGGGGTTGCCCCGCGATTCGTGACAGGTGTAACCCATCGAGTGGAAGGATGACTCGACGAGCCAAGAGAGGCTGAAAGGATTCAGAGGACCCGCATGGACTCGCCGAGTCGCCCTTGTGCACTCGACGAGTCGGGTCAAAGTTTGACCGTTGACTTTAGGGTTCTGGTCAAGACTAATTCAGGAGAGTTCAGGGAAGGGTAGAATGACCTTCTACCCAATCTGTAGAGATGAGATCATGAGAGAATATTGATCGGGGATGCTATTTGAATAATAGAAGGAGGCTAAGTCGGGACGTTGAGCACGAGAGTTTATCCGACTTCATTGAGGTGAGTCTTCTCACTATACTGTACCTGGAAGGGTACCTATGTGTGACCGGAAGGTCTTGTATGCTATGATGTATGTGCTATATGCGGTTATGTGATATGTGTGACCGGAAGGTCTAGTATGCTATGAGATGTATGTGCTATATGCGGTTACGTGATATGTATGTGTTATGTATGTTATGTATGGTAAGGACCGGAAGGTCAAGATGATATGGACCGGAAGGTCACGATGATATGGACTGGAAGGTCAAAGGGTTATGGACCGGAAGGTCGATACGGGCAGGACCGGAAGGTCTACCGGGATTCGGGACGGAAGTCCCCTGAGACACATGGATCGGAAGATCCTATAGAGTTATGGCCTGGAAGGGCGTATGTGTGGTATGTGGTATTTTGGGGAACTCACTAAGCATTTATGCTTACAGTTGTTGTGTTATGTGTTTCAGGTACTAGCGAGGATCGCGGGAAGGCGCCGGCATGATCCGTACACACTTATAGAGTTTATGTTATTGAGATTCTGGGACATGTTTTGTTATGACACAGTGATACATTATGTTTTGTGATTTTCATGTGATTGAAAGTATGATTTAAAAATGAAAAATTGTTTTGAAAATTCACGTTGTTACAAGTTGGTATCAGAGCCTTGGTTTGAGGGATTCGGGTGCATCTTCGGATGAATCTGAACTCAAACTGAGGAATTGAGAAAGTTTTTCATAAAATAAACAATTTTTCTAAAAGAGTAAAAGATTTTGAGAAAGGCAGAAGGAAGCAGTGTGTACGATCAGCCAGCGCCCGAACGGTGATTTCCCAAAATACCCTTACATTATGTGTTATGAGATATGTTATGATATGATATGCATGCTAGAGTTGGCTAGGTATTCATATTAGGACTAGAGTGGCCTGATTTTGTGATGCCTTAGCCTAGGAAGGATTTTGCTGCTATGTGATGCTTGAGAGCGAGTAGGTAGCAGTGAGGAGCTGATGAGAGGTCTACCGAAGGGTAGCCTATGCCAGTGAGATATAGAGTACTTGTGATCTGGGATCCAAGGAGGAGGACTTAGGGTGAATACTGATGCGGTGTGGACGGTAGTATAGGGCCCGTACTACTGAAGACACCGGAGCAGTGCGCACTCTAAGTAAGAATCCTTTGGGTACTAAGGAACAAGTAGGGTTGAGTTATCGAGTGCGAGTATGCTCGAGCGAGTCTCTGATATTATTATGTTGTATTTCAGAGACATCATGGTTGGGACACGTCACAGACCTGAGCCGAGTGGCGTGAGTGACGAGGAGCTTCGTCAGATGATCCACGATGAGGTGGCAGCGGCGATTCGAGCCGAGATTCCGGAGATGTTTGGGTCTATCAAGACCACATTGATTGAGACTTTTGATGAGCGGTACGCAGCGGTGACTGAGGCTGCGGCTGCTGCAGCTACTGCAGCTGTGGCTGCTGCCAGACCTCAGGGAGGTGACTCGTTGTTGCTTCGAGAGTTCAGCAACACGAAGCCACCAGAGTTTGATGGGACGCAGGATCCGATCGCTGCGATGAGATGGATTTCTGATATCGAGGGATGCTTCTACACGTGTTCATGTCCGGAGCATCTGAGGGTACGGTTCGCGTTGAACCAGCTTCGCTTGGGAGCGAAGGATTGGTGGAAGTTCGTGACGGCGAGCTTCACTCTTGCAGAGATTTCAGCGGTGACCTGGGAGAGGTTCACCACCATGTTCAGAGACGAGTATGTTCCCCCTTGGAGAGGGAACGGTTGGTTCAGGAGTTCTTGACCCTCAAGCAGGGTACTGATTCGGTTACTGTGGTTACCAGGAAGTTTCATGAGAGGGCGATGTTCTGCCCTGAGCAGGTGTCTACTGAGCAGGCACGCATGAGCCGGTATTTGGGCGTTTTGAGGAGGGATATTCGGGAGTTCGTGTCGAACTCGACTTACCGGACATTTGCTGAGCTCCAGGCAAATGCCCGGAAGAGGGAGATTGAGTTGGAGACTCAGGCCAGGGAGGAGGCCGAGTCTCAGAGGATGGATCGGCGGCCGGCACAGTCTCAGCCGGCAGCCAAGCGGGCAAGTCCGCTGATACGAGATCTGGAGGCCAGAAGGGCCACACTTGTGGAAGTGCGGCAAGGGACATGATGGGGTCTGTCGATCGGGTGCTTGCTACAAATGTGGCAAGGAGGGGCATATCGCCAAGGATTGCCCCAAGGGATTCATGGTTTGCTTTCATTGCAACCAGACTGGCCATCGGAAGGCCGAGTGCCCGCAGCTACATCAGGGATCAGCACAGGGATCTGCACCTGCTGCTAGGGCTACCGAGGTTCGGCCAGCGAAGGCCGAGGCACCGAAGGCTCGTGGGAGAGCTTTCCAGTTGACAGCGGAGGAGGTCCGCGCAGCGCCCGATGTTGTGGCTGGTATGTATTCTTTATTTATTTATGCTGAGATGAGATATTGTGCTTATATTATGATATGCGTAGGTACTTTTCTTGTGAGTTCTGTACCTGCCTTAGTGTTATTTGACTCGGGTGCGAGTCGATCATTTGTGTCGATAGCGTTTAGTCGACACATCAGTAGCCGACGAGAGGCGTTGAGTCGACCTTTACGAGTTTCCATAGCTGACGAGCGAGCGGTGTATGCTACGGATGTGATTCGAGGATGTGTACTCGAGATCTTCGGTGTTGAGTTCCCGATAGATCTGGTCCCGATAGCGATGGGGGACGTATGTGTCATAGTGGGCATGGATTGGTTGAGCCGATTTGGGGCTGTTATAGACTGCGAGCGACAGTTGGTGA